AGAAAACTTCAGGCCAATATCCATGATGAACACACATGCAAAAATCTTCAATAAAATGCTGGCAAACCGATTGCAACAGCATATCAGAAAGCTTATCCATCACGATCAAGTAGGCTTCATCCTGGGGATGCAAGGCTGGTTCAACATACGCAAGTCTATAAACGTAATTCACCACATAAACAGAACCAAAGACAAAAACCACATGATTATCTCAGTAGATGAAGAGAAGGCCTCTGACAAAATTCAACAGCCCTTTATGCTAAAAACCCTCAATAAACTAGGTATCAATGGAACATATCTCAAAATAATAGAAGCTATTTACTACAAACCCACAGCCAATATCATACTGAATGGGCAAAAACTGGAAGCATTCCCCTTGAAAGCTGGCACTAGACAAGGATGCCCTCTGTCACCACTCCTATTCAATAGAGTATTGGAAGTTCTAGCCAGAGCAATCAGGCAAGAAAAAGAAATAAAGGGTATTCTTTATTTAGGAAAGGAGGAAATCAAATTGTCTCTACTTGCAGATGACACGATTGTATATTTAGAAGACCGTATTGTCTCAGCCCAAAATCTCAGTTTCATGATTAGCAACTTCAGCAAAGTCTCAGGATACAAAATCCATGTGCAAAACCTGCAAGCATTCCTATATACCAATAACAGAGTTAAAGACAGCCAAATCAAGAACGAACTGCCATTCACAAGTGCTACAAAGAGAATAAAATACCTAGGAATACAACTGACAAAGGATATAAAGGACCTCCTTAAGGAGAATTACGAACCACTGCTCAGTGAAATAAGAGAGGACACAAACAGATGGAAAAACATTCCATGCTCATGGTTAGGAAGAATCAGTATTGTGAAAATTGCCATACTGCCCAAAGTAATTTATAGATTCAACACTATCCCCATCAAGCTACCAATGACCTTCTTCACAGAACTGGAAAAAGCCACCTTAAACTTCATATGGAACCAAAAGAAAGCCCACATAGCAAACTCAATTCTAAGCAAAAAGAACAAAGCTGGAGGCACCATGCTACCTGTCCTAAAACTATACTACACAGCCACAGTAATCAAAACAGCATGGTACTGTTACCAAAACAGAGACATAGACCCATGGAATAGAACAGAGGCCTCGGAGGCAACACCACACATCTACAACCATATGATCTTGACAAACCTGACAAAACAAGCAATGGGAAAGGATTCCCTGTTTAATAAATGGTGTTGCAAAAACTGGTTAGCCTTGTGCAGAAATCAGAAACTGAACCCCTTCCTGACACCTGACACCAAAATTAACTCCAGATGTCTTAAAGTCTTAAACATAAGACCTAATATCATAAAAACCCTAGAAGAAAGCCTAGGCAAAACCATTCAGGACACAGACATAGGCAAGGACTTCATGACGAAAACACCAAAAGCATTGGGAACAAAAGCCAAAATAGACAAACGGGATCTAATTAAACTCCAGAGTTTCTGCACAGCAAATGTAACAATTATTGGAGTGAACCAGCAATGAACAGAATGGGAAAAAATTTTCGTAATCTACCCATCTGACAAAGGACTTATATCCAAAATCTGCAAAGAACTAAAACAGATTTACAAGAAAAAAACAAACAAACCCATTCAAAAGTGGGCAAGGGATATGAACAGACTACTTTACAAAAGAAGACATATATGAGGCCAAACAAACATGAAAAAATGATCATCATCACTTGTCATTAGAGAAATGCGAATCAACACCACACTGGGATACCATCTCACGCCAGTTAGAATGACAGGCATTAAAAAATCTGGAGACAACAGATGCTGGAGAGGATGTGGAGAAATAGGAACACTTTTACACTGTTGGTGGGAGTGTAAATTAATTCAACCATGGTGGAAGACAGTGTGGCCATTCCTCAAGGACCTAGAAATAGAAATTCCATTTGATCCAGCAATCCCATTACTGGGTATGTATCCAAAGGATTATAAATTGTTCTACTATAAGGACACATGCACACGTATGTTTATTGTAGCAATGTTTACAATAGCAAAGTCTTGGAACCAACCCAAATGCCCATCAATAATAGGCTGGACAGAAAAAATGTGGCACATATACACCATGGAATACTATGCAGACATCAAAAATGATGAGTTCGTGTCTTTTGTAGGGACATGGATAAACCTGGAAACCATCATTCTCAGCAAACTGACACAAGAACAGAAAAGCAAACACCACATGTTCTCACTCATAGGCGGGTGTTGAACAATGAGAACACATGGACACAGGGAGGGGAGCATCACACACTGGGGTCTGTTGGGGGGGACTAGGGGAGGGACAGTGAGGGGTAGGGAGTTGGGGAAGAATAACATGGGGTGAAATGCCAGATATAGGTGATGGGGATGGAGTCAGCAAACCGCATTGCCATAGATGTACCTATGCAACAATACTGCTTGTTCTTCACATGTGCCCCAGAACCTAAAATGCAATAAAATATAAACCCTAGGAAAAAAAAATTAAAACTGATTATAGCAGTAACTAGGGAATAAACCCATTTATCTTTCCTATCTCCAGTTCATGTTAATAAAACCACAATAATGGGGAAAAAAAATCACAACAATGTAAATTTTAAAGTAACAGAATATAAAATTGTGTCAACTTTTATACATAAAGTTTTTAAAAGTCTAAATAGAAATATATCAAAATGTTAACAAATTATCTCTAGTTTGATATATTTTCATTTTTGCATGTTTTTTCAAATCCTCTACAATGATCATACTTTTATGATCACATTTTATGTGGTTTACGACCACAACAAAATTGAATAAAAAGAATAATTACCACATTTCTCTAAAGCTAGGCATTGAAGAATTGTTAAGTCTATATTATAAATTATTACATAATTCTACTTATTTAGAAATTTTTTGAATGATAGGCATTAAAGCCTACTTGTCATAGTCAATTTTTATCTTCCTAATTCTCTGTCATTATCACTCTTTGCCATCTTTTTCTTTCGATTTTGGGCAGTAGTTTAGCATGGCAGAAAAAAACACCTTCCTTGCACTCAAACTTCTAAATCCCAGCTCTATCATTATCTAGTTGTATAACTGTTCTCATCTTGTACATTAGAATAATACCACCAATTAAAGATATTCTGGTATATGGTAGCATCTAAATAAGAAATAGCAACTATTATCCATTGGAATGTATTACTTACTAGCTAGATTATAAGCACTTAGAAAGACTATGATTACCTTTTTCCACTATATCCATAATTTAGCACTGAGTTGGCATGTCATAATTTTCAACACATTATTTTGTCATATCCATTACTAACATCACTACCTTTTTCAGGGAGAGCCATCTCAGGATTGTAGGAGTATTACCTCTCTCCTCCTATTTGATTTTTATTTATTTTATAGAGATGAGGGCTAACTATGCTGCCCAGGGTAGTCTTGAACTCCTGGATTCAAGCAGTCCTCTCACCTTAGCCTTGCAAAGTGCTGGGATTAAAGGCCTAGCCCTCCTAGTTATTTTAATGGAAAGTTGGAATAACTCTTAAAAGCCAGAGAAAGTCAAAGATTAAATCATATAGCTCTACACTATCCTATGGTAACAGTAAATAAATGAGTAAGACAACTTTAGATAGGGTAAATAATGTTATTACCTATTTAGGTCCATATTTCTAAATCATATGCTAAGCTGCTATTTTAGATACTATCTACTGACTTCCTGCTGTAGTAGACGAGGATGTTTACTACACTTATACTATCTTCCCACTACATTTCATCCTAATTTTTGCTTAAACTGCCTGTAGTTGTAATGATTAAGGAAATACCACTCACTATAAAGCCAAGAAATTTACTGTGATAATGTCTCCTTTCTTATAAAAAGTTTCGCTTTTCCTGTTGTGTCCCTATCCTTCATTTTTTACATTAGATGCTATTTACTCATCAACAGATTTTTCTTCCCAATGCTTAAACATATCTGTTGAGTCTACTTTTATCTGGAAACCTCCTTTTTGTAGAGACAGTGTCTTGCTTTGTTGCTGAGGCTGGTCTTAACTCCTGGACTCAAGTAATCCTCCCATGTCACTCTCTGGACTAGCTAGAATTACAGGCATACATGACTGTGCCCTGCCTATCTTTAGTTTTGTCTGTTTGTTTATAAACAAGTTTTTCTTCTTAAATGTGAACACTTATTTTAATTAAAAAAATCTTTTTGTTGTTTTTGTTTTAGAGGAAGCTAGCATTAATAAAATATCCAGAAACAATGTCTGTGAAACAGGTGTTTTTATCCACATTTTGCAAAAGAGTTAACAATAAAAATACCAATTTATAAGTAGCAGCTAAAAAGAAAAGCAAGCTGATCTAATTTCTCACCCTATTGTTCAAATTGGCATTTAAACTATTGTGCCTTAATCAAAGCCACTCTTTTGTGTACAATAATCACAGGCAAAGCAACTACTATGCAAGGTAACTATAAATGATCAAAATAGGACACTTTTGAAAACGAATGGAGCACTATTAATAATTATGCCAGGACAATATGCATAATCTAAGCAAACCAGCCATTATATTACTAATAACCTCTTAGATGCTGAGCTTTTAAACTTACAAAGTATTACCTATCCCATGAAGTTCCCCCTTCAAACACCCCACTACTACGCTAGTGGCCAATATAAAGATCACCACGGTGAAAACAGAAGATGAAAAAAATTAGCAAACGTAGAATAAAAAATTTTTAAGATATTGATGTTTGCAACCCACCTTCAACAAGAACACACACAAACAATTCATTTAGAAATTCACATACTTTCTGCTCAATGGAAACAGTAATTCACATATTTAAAAATAGAACTGAATACACTGGTAGAGTTTTCTTTCTCTCACTCAGAATTACTCAATTGAAGAAACAAAGAAAGGGTGAAAAATTATTAGAAAGAAAAGAGAATAAACTGTAGTTTTCTACCTGAAGTAGTTAAGACATGAGAGAAGAAATCACTAAATGCCCTTACCCATCCCAGAGTCTTTCTTGGTGCCATCTGATATTATGTCTACATGATCAGAGTCCACATCATAACTAAAGAAATCATTCAAATAGGTCTTTGATCGCTGGCCACCAAATACATACAAGCAACGATTTTTCTGAAAAAGAAGAAAAAAAAGAAGAAAGGAGAAAGTTGTCACTTCCATGAAGAACACGGAATGATCCTCTAAAAACTGAAACCTCTACAAAGGTAATTTTACAACAGATCCCAAAGGAGTACTACACTGGAATATAAGGGAAAGAGGAAGCTCTCTATACATTGCTAAAAGGTAATCTCTAGGGGCATCCTGTTAAAGAAGAAAAGCAAGGTGCAGAAAGATATGTAGGTTGCTGCTTCCTTTGTGTAGGAATGGAGAAGAAGGAGTATCTGCGCATGAGCCAAAGAGAGAGGGAGAGAGGGAAAGAGAAATAGAAAGGGGGAAAGGCAAGAGAGAGAGAGAGCATGCAAGCGAGAGCGAGAGAAGAGATTGCTTCTTTTTTCCAAAAACAAAGGAAGGATAAACCAAAACCTAATAAAAGCCAGTTACCTATAGTGGCAGGAATAGAGCAGGAAGAAGAGGATAAAAACCAAACTTCTCCAAAAATATCTGACACATGGTTTTGACTTTATAACCATGTATATATTTTTATTTAATTAGAATAAAAATTAACTCAAAAGGAAAAAAAAACCTAAAATTTTTGGGGAAAAAAACAACAAACCAACATCTCTGTATATAAAGATATAATCACACAGAGAAGCAGTATTTCTAGAGATTTTAATACATACTTTTTGACTACCTATCACTAGAAGTCTAAATCCTAAACAGAAAAATAATCAGAAACCAATGTAAAACAGCACTCAGTGATTCTGTTACTAAATCTTTGTTTTGAGCTTTGTTACTGTGAAAGCTATTATAGACAGACAAAGCAATTAATGTTATGACACAGGATTTTAACCTTAAAAGACAGAAAAATAGGCCCAGCGTGGTGGCTCGCACCTGTAATCCTAGCATTTGGGCAGGCCAAGGTGGAAGGACTGCTTGAAACCAGCCTGGGCAACATAGCAAGGTCCTGTCTCTACTACTACTACTACTACTGCTACTGCTGCTGCTGTTGCTCCTGCTGCTGCTGCTACTATTACTACTACTACTAATATAAATCCAGGTGTAGTGGTACACACCTACAGTTCTAACTACTTGGGAGGCTAAGGTGGGAGGATCATTTGAGCCCAGAAATTCGAGGCTATAGTGAGCTATGACCTGCACTCCAGATGAGGTGGCAGAGCAAGACCCTGTCTCTAAAAAAAGAAAAAATATAAAGTAACAAAATAGAAGACATTAAGATAAAAAATATTTTATTTGAATGAGACATATCAGTATGAACTCACGATTTAATTTTTCTCTTACAAAAAAATACATAAGTATCTTTCTATCTATCTAGCCAAAAAGAACTATCTGAGTATCAAGAAAGTAGCCGGGTGTGGTGGCTCATACCTGTAATTCCAACACTTTAAAAGGTCAAGGCAGGCAGATCACCTGAGGTCAAGAGTTCAAGACCAGCCTGACAAACATGGTGAAACCCCCATCTCTACTAAATACAAAAATTTAGCTGGGCATGGTGGCACATGCCTGTAATCCCAGCTACTTGGGAAGCTGAGGCAGGAGAATTGCTTGAACCCAGGAGGCAAAGGTTGCAGTGAGCCAAGATTGGGCCACTGCACTCCAGCCTGGGCAACAAGAATGAAACTCCGTCCCAAAATAAAAAAAGAAGAAGATGGCATTGGATAGAAATACATCAAATATGAAAAATTCTTAATAAAATTTTTGTACACATATCATGGTTAACTTTGGAGCCTCAAAGTTAACTCATTCATATGAAAATCAATAAAGGAAAACAATGAGACATTTATACTGCCTATTCAGTATGCTTTACATTTCAGGTTAACCAAAAAGTTAAAGAGAGGAATTTTTTTTTCCTTTTGTAATAGGAGAATCACACACTAAACAAATGCAGAGGAAATGACATCAATAGAAAAACCACCATCTTATACATCCTAACAAAATTTAGGCAGTGAATGGTTATAAAAAACCATTAGGTAAAAGTTTGAAAGAAAACTCTGTAATTGATCAGTCAGGCTAATAACATCCAGACCTATTAACATCATCAAAAGTATGACAACTAATCATTAAATGCCTCTTTATATTTTACAATGAGAGTGTCTATGAAGTGTTCTTGCCCATTTCCCCTGGCCCGCCCCTGCCCCCGCCCCCACCCCCACACACCCCCCAAAAAAAACACACCCCCCCCAAAAAAAAAAAAAAAAAGAATCTAAAATCAAGCCTCCAGGTACAATGACCAGTTTTTAGGAAATATGAAAAAGGAACACATTAAATGACACTATGAAGAAAAAAATCAAAATCAAAACTGGAAATCTAGGAGATTCTAGAGCACAAATGTCTCAGTGGGTTGTATATTGGGGGGTAGGGAATAGGAGGAAAGAGTACTATTAAGGATTTAAAATGTAAGAGACATAACAACCAGATGCAAAACACCTTTTTTGAATCTTGACTTAAACCAACGAAGAAAAGGTATTTTTCAGTATATTAGAAAAAAATACAGATAGAATATTAAACGGTATTTAAGAAACTGCTTTTATTTTGGTTGATAATGATATTAGAATTATGTTTCCTTTTTCTTTCTTTTCTTCTTAAGAGGCTTGCTATATTGCCCAGGCTACAGCACAGTGGCTATCACAGGGGTGATTCCACTATTGATCAGCATGGGAGTTTTGACCTGCTCTGTTTCTGACCTAGCCAGTTCACCCCTACTTAAGTGACTTGGTGGTCCCTCGCTCCTGGGAGATAACCACACTGATGCCAAATTTAGTGTGGACAACTGATCAGCACAGTGCAATGCGGCCCAGAAATGGGCTCCAGCAATCCTCAGCTTCCTGAGTAGCTGAGACTGCAGGTGTGCACCAGCATACCCAACTGCAACTATGTTTTTTAAAAGTCCTTATCTGTTAGACTTACACATTATATAGTCTAACAGTAGTATTTACAAGCATAATGATACAGTATTTGTGATAAGCAGTATTTACAAGTATAATAATACAGTATTTGGGATATGCTTTAAAACACTACAGCATGTGCTATAACAAGATGTTGTAGAAAAGGAATAAATATTTAAAAAATACTCCAGCACAGTAAAATTTAAGAATAAACTTAAAAATCAAAGGATCAAGAAAGTGAATGAAATTAAAGTGGAGTAGCTGTATGAAAAATGAACAGATTACTGATAACTGTTGAAACTAACAAATAAGTACACAGAAAGTATTTAATCCCCTCTACTTTGTAGAGAAAAACATGCTTAAAATACATGTTAAAGAACATGTATAAAATATTCCATATTGTTTTAAAGCTGTGTTCATAGAAAGAAGACCGAGATTTCATTAAAACATTTGAAAAGGTTAAAAACAGTCTGTACTGTATGTTGGGTTTTGCTGATTAATTAATTAATTTATTTCTATTATTATCGAGACAGAATCTCGCTCTGCCACCCAGGCTGGAGTGCAGTGCCATGATCTTGGCTTACTGCTACCGCCTTTGCCTCCCAGGTCCAAGCGATTCTCCCACCACAGCCTCCAGAGTAGCTGGAATTACAGGCAGGTCACCACGCCAGGCTAATTTTTGTATTTTTACTAGAGACGGGCTTTTGCCATGTTGGCCAGGCTGGTCTTGAACTTCTGGCCTCAGATGATCCACCGCACCTGACCATTGCTGATACATTTAAATTCTAATGTTATAAAATAAAATCTTAAATTATTTGTTCTTCATGGAGAATAGCAGAGGAGAAAATAAGAGAGAAAGAAATTGTCTCAGAAAGAACTGTAAGAGAATAACTGTAAGAGAAGTTAGTAAATGGAAAGGTTTAAGAAAGGAACATAGCTACAAAATCTATATAAGCTGTGAAATTAATTAGTCATAAGATTGCCCAGATTGGTAGTCGGGTAATAACTATTTGGAAATTACCAGGTTGAAGAGTCTCATAGCAAACACTTCACTGTTAGAGAAGTTTTGTCTTTCTCTGTCATTGCTACACTAATCATTTATTCCTAAGGAAAAGTTTTTAATCTCTTGAATTAGATTTCACCACTTCTTTTCCTGTCTAGATAGACACAACAAAATAACATTTATGCAATATACGGAATATTCTTACTGAGTGGAATAGCATGCAGTGTCCTATTCGAGACTGGATGTCCTCAGGCCCAGCATTACAGGAGTCCTCTCGAAGAAGTTTCCAGGTTTGACATTGACAGTTGAAAGCAAATAAGCCACTGAATTGTGGTTCACTGGCTCTGCTGTCATCTACGCTGCCATTACAAGTCAAAATTCTACCACCAAAAGTGTAGATCATATGTTTTTCTGAGTCCATACACATCTATCAGAAGAAGGCAACAGATTGAATAGGTTTAGTTTGTTCCTGTCATATGTGCTAAAACAAGGCCAACATGTGTAGTTTTACATTCTCAAAAAAACCCTAAACTTTGCTCCTAATGACACTAAATACCACCCCTGATTATCGTAGGCAAGTTTCTAAATACTTTTTCAAGTTGCCATTTTTCCCAGTGACAGTAAAAACATGTTGGGATAAAGAGCTTTCTGCTTTCCTGAAATTGTATAATTTTAATTAAAATCAAATTGATTTATATGTAAGAGTGAATACTTATCATATTCTGGGTGGATAGTGATCACATCCTCCTTATAAAAATTCCCTTCTTTAATTCAGGCAAGCATCCTATTAATATTGCTACTATTTATTAAGAGATGCAAATAAGAGTGGTACAGCTAAATTCACCTCTCTGCATTTATTTTTATAAAACCCTTCAAATTACATTACAAAACAGTAAAACAAACAAAAAGACATTTACAACAATCAAGTCTCCAGAATGACTTTTACAGTGTGAAGAACTCTGTCTCCTTTTAACATAGCACTATAAATTTTCTTTCAATTAAGCTATATACTTCATGTTTAAAAGTTAAGCTTTATTCTTCTATTAACTCAAGATTATAGCTTTTCATAAAAATGTATGAGAAAACAGCCATTTGTCACAAGACAATAAGAATCAAATTCTGTTTCAAATAATACATAAATCCAAGTTGGGAATTAGATGTTGAACATAAGTGGCATTTATATTAAAGAATAAACTGTGTACATAAAATATCTATGTTTTGCTAAAAAAAAAAAACCAAAACCTAACAATATTTCATGTTTAATTCTCCTATAAATTACTTCTATTTATCAATTTTTGTACTTTTAAATAAAGGCTATTTTCATAATTTTAAAGGTTTAAAAAATTACTATTAAAAAGAAAAGATTCTAACATCTCCTAATTCTTATCTACCACTAAAAAGATCCACCTCATTAGCCATTTCCCGGGTTTCTCAAAGCTTTCCATAAATTAAGATAAAAATTTATTCCCCAAGGTGAAATCTTGGTAAATATGGTTGAAAAACAAAGATCTCTGGCATACCACAGAAAGTATTCCTATTTTTTAAATGATCATATAGTTAAAATCAGCATGCTGCTGAAGACAAATCAATTTGGTCCCATCCAACTACTGCCTCTGTTGACGGCTCCACTGGAGCTAGGTCACATTACCCTTCTGAAGTACTTCAGACTCAATCACTCCAAATATCTGGGAACTATGCTGAAAATCTTGAGGGACTCACATTAAATGAGCCTATTTCCATTTTTCATTAACTTACATGCTAATGGCCAATCTCTGTTACCAACCCCCACCTTTCTACTTCATATGGCTACAAAGAGAGTTTCTTTCTTTTTGAGGATATTGAAGCTTAATTTTGATGTGACTTATTCTCATTTGTTTGCAGGGCTGAAGTATAAACATCTTTATCTTGGTATTTCTTCCTAGCACACCAGTCTACACCAAAAAACCTTTTAATATTTGATTTCTACTCTTTTGATTTGTTTTGTCATTTTTTAATCTCTGAAAAAATCTGAAAAGTTGGAAACTTATTAAACTCTGTGTGATAATATATTTTCTATCAAAGACTCCAAAAAATCTTTAAAGCCAGAAGTTGAAATACTATTCATTTATTGTGCCAGGTTAGATATTTAATTTTTAAAATCAAATAAATAGTGAATAACCACTTATTTTCCTGGGAAAAAAATATTTTTTGAACCTGAAAATGACTTTATTTTACCCTACCACAGGAATACAAGATTGGTAAGGGGTTGGTTGGGTTCAAAATAATCTCCTCGCAAAATGTGAAAATACTGCTATAAAGCCTTCTAAGTATTCACTGTTGTCCAACCTACCACCCTCCCTTCTACAAACCTCCAAAAATGCCTCATAACTCAGTGAGAATGTCAATGAGTTGAGATCTTCAATTCTTCAACTCAAGTTTTTCCTGATACTTCTTGGCTAGCTCACTTTCCATTTTCTAGTAATTTCCACAAAAAGTGATTACACTTGAAGAACAGTTTGGCTAGATATAAAATTCTTGGCTCACACTGTCTTTTCTTGAATGTCTTCTAGATGTTGCTCTATTATCTCCTGGCATTGAAAACAGATATAGAGAAATCTGATACTAGTCACATTTTAGTTCTCTTATAGGTGGCTTAATCATTTTGTCTACTTGCTATAAAATGATCTCTTATCTTTTATAGTCAATGTTATTAATATATGTCTTAGAGTATTTGGGTCAATTTTTCCTGAATCCAATATGCCCATTTGATATGTGAAGTAAAATCTTTCCTCAGAAAAATGTTCTTGAATTCAACTGATAAATTATTTGTTTTGTTCCATTGTTTTGGTTTTCTTTTTTAAAGTCTCCAATTATATATATGTTGGCTCTCCTCTACCTATCTTCCCTGGTTAATCATTTTTACCTCTTTGTTTTCTTTTATCTTATTCCTATGGTATAGAATCATTATCTATTCTTTTTAATGCTCTATGTAGGTAAGTTTTCATTTCTAAAAGTGGCAATATACTGGGATATAACTTTCATTTACTTTTGTTTAAAGGAAATACTGTTATTTTTCTTTTTATTGTCTTTCTTTAGAATCTCTCTCTAAAGCTTTGTTATTTATTGCTTTTTAGTTTTTCATATGTAATTCAGTTGAATTTCCCTGGAGCACATAACTTTACAGAGGATTTCTTTGGAAGGTGGATATTCTTGCTGAAGAACTCCTTCCTCTGTTGCTACTGAATTGAATGGGTCCTTCAAAATACAGCACTTCGTTGAAGCCATACCTTCTCTAATTCTACGAATCTCAACTGGCTTACAGGGTTGTTCTCAAGCTTTGAGTTCCCCCAGTTTTTTACTGGCCATTGCAAAAGGAGCCATCATTCCCACTTGTCACTGTGTTTCCTTCACTTTTATAAAATAGTGCTTTCTGACATATATCACCTCTGGATCTTTCTGGGTACTTTATATGCTTTAATTCACCAACTCTTCCAGTGGTTGCCCTGGGTAAAATCCGTGACCTGTCCCTGACACTTCTCACTATGATGTACAACTGCTAGGCTCCCTCTGCATTCCCAGGTCTCCCAATTATACTGCTGCGGGCTTCAACAAAAGTTCTGGGTATTTCCATTGTTTTTGGCTAAACTTACAAGGTATTGGGAATTGTAGGTTTACTGTGGCTCTTGGTTTAGCTGAGAGAGAAAGAGAAAGAGAAGGAGAGAGAGAGAGAGAGAGAGAGAGAGAGAGAGAGAGAGAGAGAGTGTGTGTGTGTGTGTGTGCGCGCGTAACTCTTTTTGCTTATCACTGTTCCTGAAAAACCACACAAAGCAACATCAAGGAAAGCCTGATAACTAAACTGCCACTATGTTCTTAAGAAATCCAGTCTTTAAATTGTATTTCTTAAATATGTTAAAATTAAAAATGGCAAATAGCTTTTAAGCCTGCCTTTATCTTACAGCTTTCTCATATTTTTATTAAATTTGTACATTATGTGTTAAATCCTAATTGTCATAAACACCGCAAGTTATTTTTGGAGTGTTATAAACACTACAAGTTCTAACTTATAGCTTTATTTGCATGAAACAGAATAGCAAATGCAGAAGTACACAGATTCCTTGCTCACTGTTACAGCGCTAGTTGTTGTCTGAATTAGTACTGAAATCCTTGTTTCTTAACCCCCAGCGTTCTGCTATACCATCTAATCAGTTAAAAACCATGCATTATTTAACAGCACCCAGCTTCCAAGAAACATCCTATTTTATAAAAGTCAAGAGAAACAAAGGCCACACACAAGAACTCTCTATGTATTACTCCTAAACTATTCTTTTTTCAACCTGTAAAAAAAAAAAAAAAAAAGACATCAGCGTCTTTTGTAAAAGAAATACACATAACCATCTGGGAACAAGAGAATAAACTGTTCCCTAATGATATTAACTGCTGATGTTTTTAAAAAATCAGAACCAGCCTAACTTTTTCTTGGCATGCTTATTTTACACATGAACAGCATTGAGGCTGTCAGCAAGGATGTGCACGGCTCTGTGGAGCTCAGTTAATTAGAGCAAACAGAAGTTCCAAATTCAAGCTGGGGAGTATTCTGAAGACTACTGCTATTGATTTTCTACCTACCACTTAACTTGATAGGCATAACTCACTCTTCTTCTCCTTATCATTCTCCTATAACAATTACATATCAATATAAATATGGCAATAGGATAGTTCAAAAGCAAAGAATTAACAAAAATCTATAAAGGCACAATAAATAAATACCCTGGGTTCTAACTCCTAGATAAGATTTTAGGTCTCACCTAGGTTTTGTCATAATTGTAGCAACACCTCCCATTTCCCAAATACTAGATAATTTATGTTCATCAATACAGAATTATAGGTTTTTAAAGTCTTACTCTCTTCAATATACCAAAAAAACTTTGGACATGGGTTGAGCCAGATAAAAACTTGCTTATAGAATTCAAAAATGATTACTGTCTTTTTGACCTACATTGAATTTGTATGGATTAAGTATTCAAAGACAGATAACAATGACAATGATGGGGCTAATGGGAGTTACATGCATATTAATATTAAAATAGCTTCCAATGACGTTATGTTCAGTCTTCTAGTCTACAACATTATTGTGTAATTTCTATTGGTCCTGAGTTTAATCTAATACAGGCATCCCCAAACATTTACACAGGGGGCCAGTTCACTGTCCCTCAGAGACCGTTGGAGGGCCGCCATATACTGTGTTCCTCTCACTAACCACCAACGAAAGAGGTGCCCCTTCCTGAAGTGCGGCGGCGGGCGGCCGGATAAATGGCCTCAGGGGGCCACATGCGGCCCGCGGGGCCTTAGTTTGGGGACGCCTGATCTAGTATGTCAAATTCCTCTTCAGGTTTATAAAATTTTGTGATTATAAACAAAACAAAATAAATTTCACTCTAACTGGAAAAAAAGTTCTAGATTTCATCCAGTTCATTATAAAGTGATTTTCCATTTCTTCTAAGACTGTAGAAGAAATATAATTAAAAGGTTAAGTTGTTATGATTTATGCATATTTATTATAAAACTAAATTTGCTTTTCTTAATATTGCTCCATCTACTGTCTTAAATTTCTAATCAACAATTTATGTCCTGAGATCTTCATATTTTACCCTGCAACAAATAAGAGAAAAAACGTAAAGAATAACTTTATACCTACTCAAACTAGTAATTACTATCTGTCATAGGTATTTGTCATGGAAAGCACCATTAGACAACTCAGTGTAACATCTAACATAAACTCTAATTCCAAGAATCACTAAGCACTGATTAACTCCACCATATATTTAACTGTGCATCAAACCTGATGATCAAACACCAATTTCGGCCCTCCGTCAGCAGCAGTATCCTCACTTAGTAACATCCAAGTGTTTGTATCAATGTCATAACGATAGAAATCACTTTTCAGAGATTTGCTGTTCCTCACAGAGGAATCCAAATAACGCCCCAATGTGTAGATTTGCCTCCGTTGAATGTCAATGCACATTTTATGACATGATCTGGCGCTAGGACCATTCTGTAGAGAGAGAGAGCTAAATAAATAAAAGCACACACAAAAAATCAAGGAACAAATAGACAATAAAATTAAATGCCCTTTTTTATTACCTTTCATTAAAAGGTTTCTCAGAAACTCACATCTTGTCAACTAATGAGTCCAACACTAGGCTTAACTCTCTAAAGAAAAGCAAAAGCAGTAAACAGCAGGAGACATAAATCTTACCTTAGAAATGCTTAAAATCTACCAGGAAATATGAGATGAACTACACTGCACCTTATGGCACTCTGTTTATAACATCTATATGACTTATACCATATACTCCACTGCATTTTAGTCATTTGTGCACAGAGTTCAATTCTCCATTACATGTCAATCTACTTTAAGACATGTTTGGTCTTTAAGTACATTTCTGTATTTCTCATCAGAATTTAGCACAAAAGAGGTACTCCAAGAATATTTAGAATCAGTGAATTTCAAAATTAGAAGAAACATCAGTAAAATCTCTAGTTTAGTTTTCTTCTTTTAAAGAGAAGAAAATATAAGCCTAGCAAGGAAATATAAGACCAGGATGATACCTTTAATAAGCTAGTGACAGAAACTAAATAAGAATCCAAGTCTTTTGACTTCTTCATCCATCCTTTACATTATAAAATTAATTTTCCTGACTGAATAAATAGCACAGCTACAGTAAATAAATAGGAAATAATATTAAGAACAGCAAATTAATCAACAAATTAATTAGTTGATAGTACTTGTATCACAGGACCCAACAAAACATAAAAAGCATTGTAGTGTAGTCAAAAGAGTTCACAGGGAACAAAGAACTTCAACTGCACAGGGTTTGATTAGTTGAAAGGTGGAAAGGAAACTAACGTTTGTTAAACAACTCCCAAGTTTTGTTTATACTATTATTCTGTTGTATGTGTTTCATCTAATCCTTACAACAACCACATAAGGAAATATTATCACCAATTCACAGAGTCAATCGTCACAAAACCAGGAAGTAAGATAGCAAATCTATGCCTTTGTGTACCAGAGTCAAAAAGGGCTCTTTCACAATTTCAGATTATTTTTTTCTCGAAGAGAAACAAAGGCAAAAATATACTTGTTAATACAGTGCATGCAGTTATGACTCAGATGAACAGTTCTTGCTGCACATACAACAAAATTGAAGTATAAAGTGATACAGGAAGCCTCTGATGAATGAGCACTGGGAGACTAATTTTTTACAAAGGGAGAGAAAATATAAATTGCCAGTACCAGAAATGAAAGCAAGAAAGCAAGATTCCCATTATAGACTTCCTAGAAATAGAGACAGAGAGAGATACTGTCCAGATATCCAAGTGGTATATTATATCAAGCACTTAAAGAAAAAATAGTATCATTTTTAGATAAATTTTTTCAGAAAATAGAGGGAAAACGAAAAACTCTACTGTTTATCCACGTTCTTTTCCATTCCTAGATTATTTTATGAGGCCGATATAACACTGAAACCACATGACAATACTACAAACGAGAAGGGAGAGAAGGGGAAGAAGAAGGAAGAAATGGGGAGGAGGCAGAGAAATCACTGACAGGTGGCTACGACCCCTTATGAATATAGACAAAACCAATCTTTAACAAAATATTAGCAAACAGTAGCAACATATGAAAAGAATATTTTATAATAAAAAGGTATTTATCTCAGGAATGTAAAGTTGATTTTACATCTGAAAATCAATCAGGATAATTTGCCACATTAACCAAATAACGAAGAAAAAAACCACAGTTATGTCAACATGTATGTAAAAAGAGCACTTGGTAAAATTCATTATTCATGATAAAAACTCATAGCAAAATAGGAATAGAAAGATTTTCAATCTGATAACAGATGTTAAGAAAATGTAAAATTTATTATTTTTTAATGACATACTGAACACTCTTCCTCAGATATGAAACAAGGCAGGTACGTCTTTTCTCACCAATTATATTTAACACTGCTGTGGAAGTCCATGTCAGTGCAATAAGGTAGGCATTAAAAAATAAAATAAAGGCTGGGCCTGGTGGCTCATGTCTGTAATCCTAGCACTTTCAGAGGTCAAGGCAGGAGGATTCATTGAGTTCAGGAGTTCAAGACCAGCCTGGACAACATACAGAGACCCTATCTTTACACATAATTTAAAAATTAGCTGGGCATGGAGGCACATGCCTGTGGTCCCAGCTACTAGGGAGACTGAGGAGGGAGAATTGCTTGAGCCCAGAAGGCTGAGGTTGCAGCAAGCCATGATCACGTCACTGTACTCCAGCATGGGCAACAGAGTGAAACTGTCTCAAACAAACAAACAAACAAATAAATAAAATAAAATTATGATGAAAAAGAGAACAGAAAGGAAGAAGAAAAATGACTGCTTGCTTAAAACACTCTAAGGAATAAAAAAGAAGCTATTAGAAATAAGTAGACTTAACAAAGTGGAATGATAGAAAGGCAATATTAACAAATCAACTGTATTTCTCTATATTACCAGCCAACAAATGGAAAACAAAAAATTTTTAAATACCATTATAATAGCACAAAAAGCAATAATATCGACTTAACTAAAATATCACAAACCTCTTAAATGAAAACTCTTAAGAGTGCTGAGAGATAATGAAGATTAAAATAAATGGAGACTAAACCATGTTAATGGATTAGAAAGATTCAATATCCTTAAAACACCAATTTGCGGCCAGGCACAGGGGCTCATGCCTATAATCCCAGCACTTTAGGAGGCTGAGGTGGGTGGATCACCTGAGGTCAGGAGTCCGAGGCCAGCCTGGCCAACATAGTAAAACCCCATCTCTACTAAAAATACAAAAATTAGCTGGGTGTGGTGGCGGGTGCCTGTAATCCCAGCTACCTGGGAGGCTGAGGCAGGAGACTCACTTGAACCAGAGAGGAGGAGGTTGCAGTGAGCCGAGATTGCGTCACTGCACTCCTGCCTGGGCGACACAGCCAGACTCCATTTCAAAAAAATAAAACCCACCAATTTGCTCCAAATTATTTTTAGATTTATCATATTCCCATCATAATCCCAACAGTTTTAGAAGCTAATGATTCTAAAATTTATATAAAAATGGAAAGGAACTAGAAATGCCAAAAGAATTTGAAAAGGAAGAACAAAGAGGTCTTATATATTACCTGACTTCATGAATTACTATACAGCTACAGTAACCGAGGGAGTGTCATACTGGTTAACAAGAGACCAAAATGGAACACAACAGAATAGAGAGTCCAAAAAGAGACACATACTTACATGATCAATTGATTTTTGGCCAAGATGCCAAAGCAAATCAATGGAGTAAGAAGATAGGGAGTAACCAGAAATCTCGTACATTGCTGGCCAAGTATAAAATGGTACAACCATTTTGGGAAAAGCTTTAAGTTTTATTAATGGATAATAAAAGGGTGAAAGTTTGACGAGTAATGGCATAATTTCATAATCTTGAAATGCCTCTCTACAAATTACTAATTATAAATTAGACAAATCTGGTGGGTATCTCCCTAACCAAGTGACTGAAACTAGTATCAGATAAACTGACGTGACGTGTCTCCTGATATAATATACTGAGGAGATGCCAATGTGATCTATGGGTTACTCCTGCTAAAAATATATCATCTAAATCCAACCTTAAGAAAACATACAAACACAGTTGAGGAATATTCTAAAAAATAACTGCCCTGTATTCTTGAATATAATCAAAGTTAAGAAAGACAAAGACAGGTTAGGGAACTATTCCAGACTAAAGATGACTACAGATGCAAGACACCAAAAAGCAACACATAATCATGGTCTAAATTCTGGGGTGGGGTTGCAGAGTGACAAGGGATGCCTATAAAGAACATTACTGGGGCACTATTGGGATAATTGTCTATATCTGAATAGGAACTGTGAATTAGATTAAAGTGGCAGTTTCAGTGTGGTCTGGGTTCTCCAAGGTACTTCAGGGAGTCTACAATGTCAAAGTTATATATTAACAAAAAAATTTGTCTTTTCAATCTTATTCTCTTATGAGTGTATGTGAACATTTCCAGAGGGCATATGACTTTCTGATATAGCAACTGAATGCAGAAGCATGTGAATCTTGATGTTTTTTATTGAGCCAAACATTAAAGAGATTTAGAAAATTATCTTTAAAAAATGCTACTTGACTTAGCATGGTTGTCTTGGGGAATAGCATCTTTGTAATTGTTTGAGTTGTGAACTGATGCAGTTGCTTTTTAAACAACACACTACATATTTACTTGAAAGAACAACATTATGACAGACATTTTCTCAAAAACGAAGAAAGGAAGAAGCATATCCATCTTGAAGGAAAATCAAAATTTGTTGCCAGTATTTTAATGTACGTTTTTAAGCAAAAATTCGAATTACTGAAAACCTACCTGCCACTGTAATCTTGACACTTTCCCAATACTTAAAAGTCTCTATGAGACTGGCGGTGATATTAACAAATGTGGTTTTTGGGATATTGTAGTATAAAATATGCCAATATTTGGAAGATGTACATAATTTAAGGAACCGATATTTTTCAAGTGACCAAGATGTGGGTAAAAATACATTCATGGATAAAAGATCCAAGGAACAAAATAGATCAGTGAATTTTAACATAACAGAATGCCAAAAGTTAGCTGGTATGGTTTCAGAGTCTATATTGCAACTATCATTAATAAACAACCACTTGTCAATTTGGGATATGGAACCAAAAAAGAACATATGCAAGTATCTGAAAAGGCTATTAAAATACTACTTTCTTCCAAAATCACAACTATATGAGGTCCAACTCTCTTCATGTATTTGAAGTGTAAAACACGTTTTAAGACAGTAAATGCAGAAGCAGATGAGAATATAGCTGCCTTAGCTAGACATTAAAGAGACTTATAAAAATGGAAAACAATACCACATTTCTCACTATAATTTTTAGAAAGCTATTTTTAATTAAATGTTTTATGTCCACCTGTAATAGTTTTATTATTTAAAATTGATAAAAATACTTAAATTACTCAGTTTTAATTTCTATTAACAGTCATTTCAGTAGATATAACCTAAATAAGCTAAGAACACCAATGGGTTTTTGTTTAAAGGTCTAAAGAGACCCTGAGTCAACGAAATTTGAGAAGCACTATTATAAGTAAAATCCAACAAGGGCTATGTCTAATTCCTTTAAACTCTACAATTCCATGAATCCTCAAGAAAATTCAAACATGATTTAAAAAATAAACAAAAGTAAAGAACATTTTCCCACCCTCCCTTTATCAAAAAAATATAATCCAGCCTTTTCCAAGATACCTCTTGCTGTAAATTTTATTTTCATTAATAATCACAGCTTACATCTGCATCATAAAATATTGGATTTTTATAGTTAATCTTAAAAAAGAATCTAGGAACTGGACTGAAGCTAATAAAAATGGCCTTCATTAGCTACTTCAAAAAACAATAGATTTGTTTTGAATCTATAAAAACTTACTTGCTTATGTACGTGAACATTTAAAATAATTATTCTCTTTCTTAAAAAATTTATTATTTATTTTTTGAGATAGGATCTTGTTCCGTCACTCAGGCTGCAGTGCAGCTCTTCTATCACGGCTCGCTGTAGGTTCAACCTCCCAGGCCCAAGCAATCCTCCTGCCTCAACCTCCCAAGTAGCTGGAACCACAGGTGCATGCCATTATGCCCAGCTAATTTTTTCATTTTTGTAGAGAGAAGGTCTCCCTATATTGTTTAGGCTGGTCTCAAACTCCTGGTCTTACGTGATCATCCTGCCTTGACCTCCAGAAATGCTGGGATTACAGACATGAGCTACCATGCCTGGCCTAAAATAATCATTCTCTTTAAAAGCACAGCTATTCTCTTATCTTTCAATCTCCTAAATGTGTTATTAGCTATATATTTCAGTTAATTAAAGTGAATTAAATTAAGTTTGCTTTTTAATTGTTTATCATGCTTCTAAAATACATACTCTGGGGTCTCATCAAATAATAACTTGCACTCACTGGTATAGAAAATTAGATATATGAGCTACTAACTACTCAATTTTGAAAGAAATGAGCATTTATGCTAGAGTCACATATTATCATTCAATTCATGGGAAGATCAAAAAAAGGTTTTTATGAGTCTATTAATTAACTATAATAAATCTGAACTCCAGTACTGAATCACCACTTTACTTATCTCCTCAGACTTCAAAGTAACAGTAAAGTATCTGTATAAAAATATACAGATTATTCTCATCAAAATAATCTGTATATTTTTCTAGCATGAGTTTTAAAATACTTATCACATTACAAATATTATTTACAACATATGTACATGGCATAAAAAATAACAGAATGAAGTTATCTATCCATACCCAGCTTTAGAAGAGTAACATTTAATATTACCTTTAAACCCCCTACCCTCTCTAGATTTTATATTTATCATTCTCCTTTCTCTAGTATTAATTTCTCATTTAACTTACTGCACCTACTTACTCACTAAAGAGTAAGAATGTGTCACATCCTTAAAATACATACATTTTAAAGAATATGATTCATGCCTTTAAGGAATTCCGATAGGAAAACATGAATATAAATCAATCATTATAGTAAGCCACTCAAGTATTAAAAGGGGTTAAGTAAGTGCGTCAAAGAAAGCTTTTAATTCTGGTTGGAGAGGTTAAGAAAGGCTTCACAGAGAAAGGGAAGTCTGAACTGAGTGTTGAAGAATAAGTGGGTATTTACTAGGCAAAGGGAGGAGCGATCCTCTGTTAATTCCAAACAGGGAAAACAACATTGCCAAAGAACACAGGTGAGAAAGTTGAGTAATTCCAGCAACTGTAACTGGCACACAGGAGATGAGGCTGAAAAAGTAACTAGATAGCAAATCTTGATGAGAAATTTGGAGTTTTTACTCTAAGCAAAAGGAACTGCGATAAATAAATTGTTTTATTATTGTTGTTGTTATTTAGAATTTCTTTTACCTATGCCCTTTAATAGTATCCTACACCAATTGACTCCGGACTTGGTTGCATGATTGCTTTTTGCTATCAGGACAAGAAAAAAACTGATGGATTGCTCATGTCTACTTCATCCCCTTTGCAGCTCAGCAGCTGCCGTTAAGAACACACTCTGGTGCTTGAGGAGGCAAGGCTATGCGTTCAAGGCCAGCCTGGGCAACATAGACAGCTCTCTCAACCATTGGAGAAAAAAAGAAAGAATGACTAAGCCAACCTGTAGACTCATGAGCAAATAAATGCTTATTACTATATGCCACTAAAGCTTTGTGAGTGCTTATAATGTAATAAACAGTGTAAAAGATAACTGAAACAAGGGCTGAAACTCACCACAGGGTTTAAGCAGAGGTGTCATAGGATCAAATATGGTATTTGGTGGGGATTTGGTTTTTTGGGTTTGCTTTTGTTTTTGTTTTTGTTTTTTTTTTTGAAAAAGAGTCTCACTCTGTTGCCCAAGCAGGAGAGAAGTGGTGCCATCTCAGCTCACTGCAACCTCTACCTCCTGGATTCAAGGGATTCTCCTGCCTCAGCCTCCCAAGTAGCTGGGATTACAGGCACCTGCTACCACGCCCAGCTAATTTCTGTATTTTTAGTAGAGATGGGGTTTCACCATGTTGATCAGGCTGGTCTCGAACTACTGAGCTCAGGTGATCTGTTGGCCTCGGCCTCCCAGACTGCTGGGATTACAGGCATGAACCACCAGGTCAGGCCTTGTTTTTGTTTATGACAGGGTCTTGCTCTGTCACCCAGGCTGGAGGCAAGAGCACAATAATGGCTCACTGCAATCTCCACTTCCAGTCCTCAGGTAATCCTCCTGACTTGGCCTCCCAAAGTGCTTGGATTTTAGGTGTGAGCCACCACACCCAGCCCAAATATGCTTTTTAAAGACTGTGTTGATGAATGGAGACTAGGTCAGCAATGGAGACACAAAAAGTTTAAGAAACTATAAAGTTGAAAAAACTGCCAAAAGAATGGAGAGGAAAAGACATTTGAAATGTGGTACTGGATGACCTGATGGGTCATGCCAGGCACCTGGAGAACTGTTGCATCTTAGGCACTAATTAGACACATTCACTGAAGAGGAGGGAAGGATTTTAGGATGAAACTTAGGCTTAATGCAGGAAGAATTAAAGACGTCATCATGCTAGATTTATAATATTTTAGTAGAAAAAAGTTAGTTTAAAAAAAAAAGATTTGTCTTCTGTTGTTGAAGACAGAAATAATCATTTCAGAAAACAGTACTTCACTACTGAAAAAGGAAGGCCATTTATACATACTTTACTGGGTTAAGAAAAATAAATCAAGCCGGGCGCGGTGGCTCAAGCCTGTAATCCCAGCACTTTGGGAGGCTGAGGTGGGTGGATCACGAGGTCGAGAGATCGAGACCATCCCGGTCAACATGGTGAAACCCCGTCTCTACTAAAGATACAAAAAATTAGCTGGGCATGGTGGCGCGTGCCTGTAATCCCAGCTACTCAGGAGGCTGAGGTAGGAGAATTGCCTGAGCCCAGGAGGCGGAGGTTGCGGTGAGCCGAGATCGCGCCATTGCACTCCAGCCTGGGTAACAAGAGCGAAACTCCGTCTCAAAAAAAAAAAAAAAAAAGAAAAAGAAAAATAAATCAGAATTTCAATATATTTTTGAAAAAATAAAAACTGCCCAGTGATTAATCCCTGAACGGTTTTTATTAACATAGTTTCACAGTAAGCAAGAATCCAGTTACTCAAGATTAAAGACACAGTACCAGATCTTTGGAAATGGCCTTCCTAGATCAACAATCAGTGGCCTTATGAATGAGGCCTTTTTACCCTCTTGAGGCTCCTACTGTTTCGTTATAGTTTATTTTTCACTTATATCCTGAAACAGTTTTAGTGGAGAGTGCAATTAAAATGTTCTATAAAGATCTGAAAAAATAGCAAACCAATTAATATTTGCTCTACTGCAGTAGAAAATCATGCACTTGTTTAATTCAAAGCCATAAACCTAAGCCATCTTATTCACTACAGAAATGCTTTATGTATATATGCATATACACACATGCACATGCATACATAGATACAATTTTAACTAAAAATAATATATATCATTTATGAAAACTGACATATAGACAAATAACGGGCTAAAATAGTGAGACAGTGAGAGGCCCAGAGTGTCAAAAGCACAATATTCCAGAAAAAATAAAAATAAGATGATGTTAAAAATAAGAATAGAGGTGGTAGAGACATGAGCAAAAAGACAGTTACAGAGTTACATTTCTAGGCTTATGCAGTTGAAAAATAAAATGATATAAAAATCCCCATTTCCATCACTCTCTATAAAACAGATTTGGTTGTGTATCAGTAGCTGAAGACCCAGTTAAAGAAGCTGAAATTCAAGACTACTTAAAAAAACTTGTTTATCACAAATTCTATTGCTACTCCTGCTGATAGACATTAGTCAAGAATATAATCACGCTGAAAAAGAAGTGCACATCTACATCCCTATTATAATACAGATGGATGAAAAGTCTGAGAACTTGCCTCTTTTTCAGTGTCTCTAGAGATACATGTCCACTGGTTCTCCTTCACACTGTATGCCCAGAAGTCAGCAAGATCTTGTGTTCCATCCCAGCCACCAAACAAATAAACGGTCTCTATGAAAATCAGAAAAATATGTGTAAAAAAAAAAAAAAGGACAAAATAAGCATAGATACCCATACCTATCCAGCTGTTTGTAAGACCACTTAAGAAGGTACATCCAAATAAATTTTAAAATAAAAATTTTAACCTGGTAACTTTCTCAAATATATAGTAGACTAGTATTTCCTAAGCATGGAAATATGAAAAGGATGCTGCAGAACCACTATTTTGAGAGATTTATAAAAATACAGATAACCAGGAGGCATGTCCCAAGATTCTGATTCCACAGGTCTTCAATGGGTAAAAAAAAAAAAAAAGAGTCTGTATTTGTAAAGTATCCCAGATAAAGCTAATGTGCAGCTAGTTTGAAGTTTCTATGTTAGGTGGTGAAAAGTTTACATTTACCAGTTTCTTAATAATACGGCTACTTTTTATCCACTATGGAATTTTTATATTCAGATTGTAAAAAAAAAACCAAAAAAAACCCAGAGAAATATATAGCATAAAAGTATAACATAAGAACACTTAGCTGTTTTTGAAAAAAGGCCTTACTAAAGGTAATTTTTCTCTATTGCTATATCAAAACTGGTTAAAACTAGCTTTAAAATTAGATATATTAAGAATAAAGTGATCCATAGCTTTGGTATTCCTATAAAAACTGAGGGAAATTTTTCCAAATACATTGTGGTATATTTCACTCATCAGAAATTATCCTTTAAGTCATTATAGGTATCTTGAGAATTTGGTTTCTTCTGACTCTGAAATGTCTATTATATTCATGGACTTTATCACTAACAAAACTGATTTCTTGCTTACCGAATAATGAATCTTTACATAAAACATGGTATATCATATCATAAAGCCTTCTTTATTTTTATTATTTATATATTTATTTAGAGACAGAGTCATTCTCTGTTGCCCAGGATGGAGTGCAGTGGTGCAATCATGGCTCACTGCAGCCTCCTGGATTCAAGCAATCCCCCCGACCCAAGCCTCTCGAGTAGCTGGGACTACAAGCATGTGCCACCATGTCCAGCCAACATTTTTGGAGGATTACAGACAGGTGCTCACTATGTTGCCCAGTCTGGTATTGAACTTCTGGCCTCAAGCAATCCTCCAGCTTCAGCCTCCCAAATGGCTGAGATTACAGGCATGAGCCACCCCCACCCAGCCCCTTCTTTATGCAATAATAATGTATTTCCAGCTCATGCCTGTAATCCCAGCACTTTGGGAGGCCAAGGCGGGTGGATCACGAGGCCAGCTCAAGAGCCGCCTGGCCAACACAGTGAAACCCTGTCTCTACTAAAATACAAAAAATTAGCCAGGCATGGTGGCAGGTACCTGTAATGCCAGCTACTTGGGAGGCTGAGGTAGGAGAATCACTTGAATCAGAAGGAAGGTGGAGGTTGCAGTGAGCCAAGATCGCACCACAGCACACCAGGCTGGGAGAGAGTATGAGACTCCGTCTCAAATAAATAAATAAATAATTATAAATAAATAAAGTGCATTTCCTTCCTTCAAATATTTTCTCCCTTGTAACTGTTTTAAGTTTACCGGTTATATAAGCCCACCAATTATCTTTTAATGTTAAATAAAACACTATGAAACTGTAAAGCCATGTACTCTCTAACACACTTTAGGCCTGTACATAATGGAAGCTGTCACCTAAGTTATATCCCATGCAGGGTTACAATTCAAAGTGTACTTGGACATACTATAACACTATTTAAGAATCTTTTGCCATTCACAGAGTTAGGTTATCTTCTACAAGATTTTTGTCATATTTGCACATAATTTCAAACTCTAAGTACGTTTTTCAAGTGACTTGCCTCTTCTATCCCTCTAATACCTGGGGAAATAAAAAGATGCTTCACTGCTTTCTGGATAAGAACAGGCCACTGGGGCAGGACTGAGTTCTAGTACTAAATGGGTGATCAGTACAGGTCATTTAAACCCCTTGGGTCTTAGCTTTTTCATTTGCAAAACTCTCCGTGTTGTGAAGTCCTTTAGATATGCTACATAAAGCCAGGTGTATGGCTCATCTGAGGTTGGGAGTTCAAGACCAGACTGGTCAACATGGTGAAATCTCATCTCTGCTAAAAATATAAAACTTAGCCTGGCTGGGCGCGGTGGCTCAAGCCTGTAATCCCAGCACTTTGGGAGGCCGAGGCGGGTGGATCACGAGGTCAAGAGATCGAGACCATCCTGGTCAACATGGTGAAACCCCGTCTCTACTAAAAATACAAAAAAAAAAAAAAAAAATTAGCTGGGCATGGTGGTGTGTGCCTGTAATCGCAGCTACTCAGGAGGCTGAGGCAGGAGAATTGCCTGAGCCCGGAAGGCGGAGGTTGCGGTGAGCCGAGATCGCGCCATTGCACTCCAGCCTGGATAACAAGAGTGAAACTCCGTCTCAAAAAAAAAAAAAAAAAAAAAAAAAAAAAAAAAAACTTAGCCTGGCATGGTGGCACACATCTGTAATTCTAGCTACTTGAAAGGCTGAGGCAGGAGAATCGCTTGAACTCAGGAGGCGGAGGCTGCAGAGAGCCAAGATCGTGCCACTGCACTCTAGCCTAGGCAACACAGTTAGACTCCACCTCAAAAAAAAAAAAAAGTTACATGAAAACATTCTGAAGGCTGTCATGTATGAACAGTATTTCTACCTTAAAACATGCATAAAAATAAAAAATGCTCTGTAGTTACTAAGTACAATAAAAATGATACTGTATCCGACTACATGTCCAATTCAGTATACAGAACACATTTGGCATTGTCTAAGTGTGAAATAATGGCAATTATTTTAAACTACAAAAAAACTGTCCCATCTTGGAACTATAAAACAATCCATTAGCATCAGTTAAGTAACATTCTGTTTCCAAAATGGCGCACAGTAATATCCAGACACATAAATTTACAGCCAAAAAAAAAAAAAAGAATTTTTATCTGGCTTAAAAATTATTTGCCAAGGCCTCACTATAAAGGAAATTTACCCTGTTAAATTCTGAAGCCTGGAGAGGGAGCGCGTATATAACTAAAATAGCAATAGCAATTGACCTTTTGTTTTATAGGGTTCCTGGGCACCCTCTGGATAAGGTTACCCTGGTTCATTAACTTTAATAACCCTTCCTCTTGGACTATGGGTTCTCAATGTTCTCTCTGAAAAGCAGGTCTCTTTGTACGCATAAATTCTCACAGCAAAGAAAACCCACATTTCCACAACAGCCTCATTGATAGCTGAGCAAAATAAAATCTGGCACGCAACAAGCATCCTAATGGAATTAAGCCAAGATGTCATTCCTATCCATGAAAGCTTTGTGGTCCTAGCTGAAGTTTAATAGTAAAATTAAATGAATTGGATGGAAACTGAGCCTTCTGACATACCTGAATGAAAACACATAACAAAAATTCTAATTAAATCATCTAATTATTTAAGTCATTCAAAGATAAACTATTATTCAGTAACAAACACCAGAAAAGGTATTATTTAATGCATAAAGGATATCAAAGACTTTTAAAAACTATGGAAATCATTGGAGCAAACTGTAGAGAAAAGTAAGGAAGTAGAAAAGAAAAAAAAAGAAAGCATTAATATTTGCAGTAGGGTAGCAGATTGGTTTATGGAAGTCCATTCTTGTGCTTATAGGTTCTATAATAATTCATGTACATCTGGGGTAGTATGATCCTCTTCGAGAAGCAACCCCTTTACCTCTTCTATTTTTTCTCAATGGGGCATAGGCTATAGTGTCTATCCATTTCTCCCAGCACTATGAGGAATGTTTATTCAACACTTTTTGAGTATGGAGAAATAGAAAAGCATTTTAGACAATTAAAAGAAAGAACACATAGTCCCTAGTCCCTATCCTCAAGGAATTCACAATCTAGTCAAGAATATCAAAAGGCAAATATATCAACATAATGTAAGGCAGACTAAATATCCTAAGAAAGGTAAACAAGGTAAAAAGCACCATGAGGGCTCAAAAGAGGGAAGAGAGTTTATCTGGCTGAGGGGATTCAGAAGAGATTTCATGGTGACAGTGGTATCTGACCTATGCATCAGCAGGAAGGCAGGATACGGAACAAAAAAAGAGGACTTTTCAAGCAGAGTGAAAAGAATAACAAAAGTATAGAGACAGAAAAACACATCAAAAGTGTTTTAAACACATGTACTCTCGTCAGGCAGATCTTGGCTACAATCCTGGCTCTATAACCACAGCTGTGTGACCACCACAAAGTTCATTAACTATTGGTTTCTTAATCTTTAAGATGTTATACAATATCTATCCCATAAAGCTGCTGTGAGAATTAACTAATGCATGTTAAATGGTTAAACTGTGTGATGAATAAATACACTGTTTGATTTAAAAGAATACATAGGTAGGAGATGGACAATAGGTTAAAAGACAGGTAGTGTCTAGATCATGAATGGGATTAAGTAACAGGATAAAGACTTTGAACTTGACTCCACACAGACAGTGGAGAAGCCACAGAAGATCTAAGCAGAGTAACATCTGCTTCAGGTAACATCTGAACTTGCAGCATACAGGACTGACTGAAAAGGAGCTGGGAATGACAGAGATTGGAGATAAAGTGGCCAGTAATAGCCTAGGTTCAAAATGTCAAAATAATTTCATTCTAAAACACTAAGTCAATGAATCACCAATCAATCTTTCACTACCTGGGCCACAAAAACTAAAATTCAACCATATTCGTTGGTACAGTATATGTATCAATACGGTATCAGTATAAAACAAACCTTAGAGCTACCTACTACCAGTAGTACCAATCTACGCATCTTACACACTAAAAATGAGGTAGAAATTTAAGTCATATAAAGACATCTCGGTGTCTTTTTGCACAATGGAACAGGCTTTTTATTTTTAGTGTCCAAGTGCAGTATCTGTCTTCTACTTTGATTTCTTAGGGATAAATCAGACTGTGCTGATAGCATAATCCTCCACAAGATGGCACACTACTTTTGTAATTAAATTTGTTTTTCCACTTTGACACTGTATAGGAT